CATTTAACCGGATGAGATAAAAGTCTTCGTTTTCAGAAAGTGGACCTATTCTCCTTTTTTTAATGACTGCTTAAAGACTCCTTAAACATTTAATTTTTATTATTATTTTTTATCTTGTTAAGAAAAATTTAATCACATTCAATTTAAAATTATCTTCGATTGGATTTAATTCCCTTTGTTGTTCGGCAAATTTTAATCAAAGCTCTTCACGGCAACAAATTACAATTTGTAATTATCTTAATTTTTCTTTTTATCAGTAGAAAATTACTTTCAAGACTCTTTGTTTCATCTTATTACAAATATTCCTTTTCAAACGCCATTTAAATGGGTATTTTTTATTACAGTAAAACCTCGATATAACGGATTAAAACTGCGAAGGAAGTTTCCGTTATATCCAAAAGTGCATTATATGAAAAATTTTTAATTTGCAATTTTAACTGATTGAATGAGTAAACAATAATGCATTAAACACAGATTCGAAAAGCTATTCATACCGTTGTGTTCTTGATTAGGTAGTTATACTTTTAGTTCAATAAAAATATACAACAATCTAGCGCTGAATAACAATGAAAACTAGAACTACAAAATCAATTACAAAATGTCAAAATTGTAGCGTAAAAACTAAAAGTGTTAGAGAAAGACGTTATGAGTAAAAAGTATTCCTAATGCATCAATAAATCATAATCCACACTTATTTTATATTTATCTATTACCAGTTTCTAGTGATATAGCATAAATCACAAAACATCAAAACGAAATTGAACGATTTTTCTTAACAAAATCAACTGTAACGTAAATACTAAAACTGATTGAGAAAGATGTTATGAATAAAAAGTATTCCTAATGCATCAATAACTCATAATCCATACTTATTTCATATTTATCTATCACTAGTTTCTAGTGATATAGCATAAATCATAAAATGTCAAAAATTGATGATTTTTCTTAACAAATCCAAGTGTAATATAAGTACTAAAACAGTTGGAGAAAGACGTTATGAATAAAAAATATTCCTAATGCATGAAGAAATCATAATCCATACTTATTTCGTATTTATTCGTGACCAGTTTTGTAGTGATATAGCATAAATCATAAAATGTCAAAATTGGACGAGTTTTCTTATAAAATCAACTATAGTGTAAGTACTAAAACTGATACAGAAAGACGTTATGAATAAAAAATATTCCTAATGCATCAAGAAATCATAATCCATACTTATTTCGTATTTATTCGTCATCAGTTTTGTAGTGATATAGCATAAATCATAAAATGTCAAAATTGGACGAGTTTTCTTAATAAAATCATCTACAACGTAAATACTAAAACTGATGGAGAAAGATGTTAGAATAAAAAATATTCCTATTGCATCAATAAATCGTAATCCATACTTATTTCATATATATCTATCACCCGTTTCTAGTGACATAGCATAAATCATAAAATGTCAAAAATTGATGATTTTTCTTAACAAATCCAACTGTAATATAAGTACTAAAACAGTTGGAGAAAGACGTTATGAATAAAAAATATTCTTAATGCATCAAGAAATCATAATCCATACTTACATCATATGCATCTATCACCAGTTTCTAATGATATAGCATAAATCATAAAATGTCAAAATTGGCCTTTTTTTTATAAAATCAACTATAATGTTAGTACTAAAACTGATGCAGAAAGACATTATGAATAAAAAATATTCCTAATGCATCAAGAAATCATAATCCATATTTATTTCCTATTTATCTATCACCAGTTTCTAGTGATATCGCATAAATCATAAAATGTCGAAAGTGCAAGAGTTTTCTTAATAAAATCAACTATAACGTAAATACTAAAACTGATTGAGAAAGATGTTATGAATAAAAAATATTCCCAATGCATCAATAAAACATAATCCATACTTATTTCATACTTATCTATCACCAGTTTCTAGTGACATAGCATAAATCATAAAATGTCAAAATTGATCGAGTTTTCTTATAAAATCAACTAGGTATAGTGTAAGTACTAGAACTGATGGAGAAAGATGTCATGATTAAAAAACATTTCTAATGCATCAAGAAATCATAATCCATATTTATTTCATATTTATCTATCACCAGTTTCTAGTGATATAGCATAAATCATAAAATGTCAAAATTGGACAAGTTTTCTTTTAAATCAACTAGGTATAGTGTAAGTACTAGAACTGATGGATATAGACGTTATGAATAAAAAACTTTTCTAATGCATCAAGAAATCATAATCCATACTTATTTCATATTTATCTATCACCAGTTTCTAGTGATATAGCATAAATCATAAAATGTCAAAATTGGACGAGTTTTTTTATAAAATCAACTATAGTGTTAGTACTAAAACTGACGCAGAAAGACGTTATGAATAAAAACTATTCCTAATGCATCAGAAAATCATAATCCATATTTATTTCGTATTTGTCTATCACCAGTTTCTAGTGATATCGCATAAATCCTAAAATATCAAAACTGGACGAGTTTTCTTAATAAAATCAACTATAACGTAAATACTAAAACTGATTGAGAAAGATATTATGAATAAAAAATATTCCCAATGCATTAATAAAACATAATCCATACTTATTTCATATTTATCTATCACCAGTTTCTAGTGACATAGCATAAATCATAAAATGTCAAAATTGATCGAGTTTTTTTATAAAATCAACTAGGTATAGTGTAAGTACTAGAACTGATGGAGAAAGACGTCATGATTAAATAACTTTTCTAATGCATCAAGAAATCATAATCCTTACTTATTTCATATTTATCTATCACCAGTTTCTAGTGATATAGCATAAATCATAAAATGTTAAAATTGGATAAGTTTTCTTATAAAATCAACTAGGTATAGTGTAAGTACTAGAACTGGTGGAGATAGACGTTATCAATAAAAAACTTTTGTAATGCATCAAGAAATCATAATCCATACTTATTTCATATTTATCTATCACCAGTTTCTAGTGATATAGCATAAATCATAAAATGTCAAAATTGGATAAGTTTTCTTATAAAATCAACTAGGTATAGTGTAAGTACTAGAACTGGTGGATATAGACGTTNCTAACTGTAATATAAGTACTAAAACAGTTGGAGAAAGACGTTATGAATAAAAAATATTCTTAATGCATCAAGAAATCATAATTCATACTTACATCATATTCATTTATCACCAGTTTCTAATGATATAGCATAAATCATAAAATGTCAAAATTGGACGAGTTTTTTTATAAAATCAACTATAGTGTTGGTACTAAAACTGATACAGAAAGACGTTATGAATAAAAAATATTCCTAATGCATCAAGAAATCATAATCCATATTTATTTCGTATTTATCTATCACCAGTTTCCAGTGATATAGCATAAATCATAAAATGTCAAAATTGGACGAGTTTTCTTAATAAAATCATCTACAACGTAAAAACTAAAACTGATGGAGAAAGATGTTAGAATAAAAAATATTCCTAATGCATCAATAAATCATAATCCATACTTATTTCATATTTATCTATCGCCAGTTTCTAGTGATATATCATAAATCACAAACTATCATAATTGAATGATTTTTCTTAATAAAATCAACTATAACGTAAGTACTAAAACTGATAGAGAATGACGTTACAAATAAAAATTATTCCTAATGCATCAATAAATCATAATCCATACTAATTTCATATTTATTCATTACCAGTTTCTAGTGATATAGCATAAATCATAAAACATCAAAATTGAACGATTTTTCTTAACAAAATCAACTGTAACGTAAATACTAAAACTGATGGAGAAACACGTTATGAATAAGAAATATTCCTAATGCATTAACAAATCATAATCCAGTATTATTTCATATTTATCTATCACCTGTTTCTAGTGATACAGCATAAATTACAAAATATCGAAATTGGATGATTTTTTTTAATAAAATAATAACTAACGTTGAGAAGGAATGGTTGAAGTTTATAAAACAATTATTTAGTACGTTATTTTTTAAATTTAGTAACTGTTGCAAGAAACAACATACAAATACTTGTTCCAAAGTAATAGGTACAAGTATCAAGTTAACACCTCTAGAATAGATCAGCTTGGGAAATATCCCGAGTTGGATTTTATCTATGACCACTAACATTAAATTATATTTAAATATTACTAGTATGAATTAATAATATTTTGTCCGTTATATTCGAAATCCGTTCTAACGAGATCCGTTATATCAAGGCTTCACTGTATCTTTTTATTTTAATAATTATTTATTAACAGCACGCAGTAAATCATCTATTAAATTGAGTAATTGATACTGAAATTACAACTATCCTTTATTTTGTGGTTTTTGAGGGTAACATTTCAGTTTAAAAAAGAAAATATCAATAAGCAAAACCTAAGACTCGATGTAAAAGTTGTTTTTTGCGGTTTATTTAAAAGGAATAAGTGTATAATTTGTTATTTCATCCATCTCGCTCCTTTTAATTTAAAATTGACGCTTTAATAAAATTCTCTTCGTCAACTATTCAGAAATGTTAACGATTCTCTCTCGGCATAATTCACGTGATTGGTCACTGAGCGTTTCGCAACTAAATGTCAAAAATTTTCATAAAACGACCTTTGTACGAGTTAAAAAATTATATAAAAAAAATATGCACAAATTTTTTATGATAAAAAAAATGGTAGGGATGAGAAAAGATGTTTAATTCATTTATAAATATCATTATGAAATAAATTTCTAAAAAAACCTTAACGACCTAAAAGGTCATTTCCGGGATTGTTACACATTTGATTTCGCACGACTTTTTTTCTGCTAACTTTACTCATCGGCTAACAAACGCGTTACGCGATCGATGAGGTTGAAAAAGAAGAAGAAGACCCCGAACGACGACGACGACTCCGACCTCCGAAGAGTGGTGGCAAAATGCCAATAAGAATGGTGTGCCTACCGATATTTCCAACTACGTATTATACAGGGAGGTCGTGGGTATAAAAGATCGAACCACCAACGATACTTTACAGTTCCATCACAACACTCACATCAGCTTCTAGTCTAAGTGACTTCTTGTAGTGATTAGAACAATTTACATAAACACACCTCAATTCAACATGAAAGTGGTAAGATCTTCAAAAGAAAATCGATAACTTACATATTTATCGAAATTTTTCTTTTAAGGTTATTTTGTGTGCTCTTTTTGCTTTGGCTTATGCCGCCCCACAAAGTGCTGATAAAGATGCCGTGGTAGTAAGAAGCGAATTAGATAATATTGGAGTTGATGGTTACAAATTTGCGTAGGTTACATAAAATCTTTTTTAACCAAATTTAATCATTACATCTCTCTATTAGCTATGAAACAAGTAATGGAATTGCTGCTGATGAACAAGGAAGTCTTCAAAATGCTGGAACCGATAACGAATCAATTTCCGTTCGTGGTCAATTCAAATACGTTGGTCCCGATGGTGTTACGTACACAGTGACGTACGTTGCTGATGAAAACGGTTTCCAACCACAAGGTGCTCACATTCCCGCTTAAAAGATGAAAACAATAATCCACGCTGCCATTTCCGACGGTTTTTTAAAAAAAGATTTCAAATTTAAAAAGGAACCGCGAACGGGAAAACGATTTTGGTATCTTTTTGAAGTTAAAAAATAATTGACGAAATTTATCAAAACCGTTTTCCCGATATATTTATGTGTGTGTATATAAATTTTGTACTATATGTTTTCTAAAAAAATAAAATATGTGTGAGGATGAATTTTTTGGTTTAATTTTATAGCTTTGAAAATACCTTGATATCAAAAATACCTTGATTGAGTTTTATTACATTGATCGACAAAAACTAAAAAAAATCTTAAAAAGATAATTTAATGCCTAATCACTACTTTCTAAATCTTTATTGTATAGATCAAGTTCGAAATTGGAGATAATATATTTTGGTGGAGGTGAAGGTTAAAAATTAATTAGATTTGTCTACACTCAACTTTTTCGGACTGGTACTGATATCGTGAACAAAAATGTCTTGCTGTTGCTTCAGTCAAAAAATACGAAAGACAACAACGTATTGTATGGTCAGCAGACTCCCAGTTTCTGATGGATAGTAGTAAATAGTAGTAATTGAGATTAGGTTATAACAAACTTTAAGGATTTAGCATAAACAATTCATTTTGTAAGTACGACTAGAACTAACACTAGCACTATCACTAAAACTAACACTAAACTTAGAACTAGACCTAGGTGTAGTGTTAGTTCTAGTTTTAGTTTAATTTTGTATGTAATTAAAAATATATTGACGTTTGTTAAATATGTGGTTAAAGAAAAAAAATATTTTCTCCAAAACCGTTAGGAATTAAGAAATGATACGTTTCGAGGTTTGAAAGAAACGTTTGAGGTTAGGTTGTAACAAATTATAAGCTTCTGGAGTGATCACTTTATTTTATATAAAATTTGAAAAATCACCGGTTTAATTTGAGATTTATTGAACACCAGATTAAAAATGAGAAAGTATTTTCTCATTTTTGAAACAAATTTTTGGAGGTTCTAAAAGAACGTTTGAAGTTAGGTTATAACAAATTTTAAGTGGTCATAGTGAATAATACTCGAGGGCAGAAACGATGGCGGTGAAATCCTGTTGGGTTTCTTGCTGCAAAATAATCTTTTTCAAATGAATCGCTTTTTCAACAAAAACCCAACAGAAGATGGACTGGGAAGGTGAAGACGGTTGCACTAGAAATGAAATAGATTTTATAATAACAGACATGAGGCAAATAGTCGAAGATGAACGTGTGAACAAAATCTAGGCTTACCCAAAAGATATAAACAGAGTTCCAACAATGCATTATGAACATATTGGAAAACCTGGATCCGCACCAAAACATTGATACTCTTAATGATTCGATAGTTACAGCCATGCAAAAGGGTTTGCCAAAAAAACAAGCAGAGTCGCAAAAATCAGTCAAACTACAGTACAACTGATGCAACGAAGAAACGAGATGAGAGGTGAAAATCGACCACCACTCAAAAAATAAAAGAGATTAATAAGTGGGTGTCGAGGGCCATAAGGAAGGATATTAGAACTTATAATAAAGAGAAGATCAAACAAACTATACAGTAAATAAAAGTTTAAAAGTCTTGCGCAGAAGACTAGGTATTGGGAGAAGAGAGATAACTAAAATTAGAAACAAACAAGGAAAAATAATAGCGAATAGGGAAGAAATACTGAGGGCTGTGAAGTATCAAAAATCAATATTTCTAAAACAAAATTTATGACCAATCTGGTTCCCAGTGAAAACATTGTGATGGAAGGAAAGGAAATTAAACGAGTGGATAAGTACACCTATCTTGGCAACGAATTTAAGATCACAAGAGACAACCTGTGAACTAAGAAGGATATGGGCCGATCATGGGCAGCATACGGTAAACGCAATGATGTGTTTAACCTTTCTGGTACAGAACTTTTAGTGTCTAAAATTTCACGAAGTCCGATGAGAGATACAAATGTATCCCAAGAAATTTATTTGATGTATGACAAAATTAATAAGAAAAATCGTAAAACATTAACAACACTTATGATAGTTATAAACAACTAAAATTATAAACCAAAAAAGTCTTTTAAATGAAACTAGAAAATTAAAATGTTTTAACGAACGTTTTCCTTTTCTTGACAAATGGTAAAAATAATTTTTTTTTGACACCAGACAATGATTGGAACAAACATATTTTTTGCATTTATGACAAGTCCTTTTATCAGCTTTTTTTGGGCATATCGTACAGCGTTTTGGATATGCCGATGAAGATGGGACTGAAATTTATTTATTATTAGTTTTGAGTTTCCTCCACTAAGATACGGATCGCCTCCACAATTCTTTTAGATAAGTGCTTCTCCTGTAGTCTTTTAGCGGCATTAGGCTTTATGAGTTCTTGTCCAAGTTCTAATAAAAAAGTTCTTCTGTAGTCATTCTTTTTTAGTTCTGGATTTTTAGTTGTCCAAATTATATAAGCTGCAACGTCCAAAATATTTTGAAATAATACAAAGGGTCATCTTTTCGTTCCTCTTTTCACTGAATATTCATTTACCATCTTATCCATAGTATCTACAGCGCCTTTACAGCTGTTGTAATGTTCTATAATGTTCGGCTTGAAATGATTATCCTCATTTCCTATTTTATTATCATGACGCTCAGTGCTGAGTACTATCATTGATTTACCTTTCTTAGGTACGTAAGAAGTCAATGCTGTATCATTCGTGAAAGCAAAAACAAGGGATTTTTCTGGTTTATTTTTATTGGGCAACATTGCTGGCGGAATTTCGTATACTTGTAAAGAAATTATCGGTAGTAACACCATAACCTCGACGTATAATCGTACTACATCATCCAAGTGACAAGAGATGTGGTAGTCAACGTGTTCAGGTTGAGCATAAAGACAAGATTTTAGCCCAATAATATCAAAAGGTCGACGTTATTGGGGGAATCAACATTAGTTTGTAGAAATTAAGATTCTAAGTAACTGTCTACACCCAACTCGCATCTCTATATGGCAACTATAGATTAGAATAATGGAGTGGCCTATGCTCAACTCTGTTATAATTTTTATATAAGTATTATCATATTACGCTGTATCTTCAGGATAAAGTACTATCTCCAGTTACGCAATTTGGCGTATCGCTTTGACAGATTTAGCCAAAATATTTAATATAAAAGTTTTGAATTTAAGGATTCAAAAAAACTGATAATGCCGCAAGTATTATGTGACACTAGACACTTGTCTTAACTTGTACATTCGTTATACACAATCTAAGCTAAGCTACGTTTAATTGCAAAACAAGAGTGTTTACACTGCCATATCTAAGATGAGGATAATATTAATTTTGTTAAATGTTTACCTCAAGTGATTATTCTTAGAATTAATACAAGAAGTTAGGGATTTGATAACTTTTTTTGTATAATCCTTCATTATCAATTCTTAGGATTTGGTATTTTGATTAAGGCTAATTAATAATATTTATTTTGACGTTTGTAGCTTCTTCTATCATGGTCGCATTTCACTGTAGTAACTCCATTGTCCATTTCATCTTTGTTCACAGTTAAACATTTCATAATGTTCAGAAAATCTCTTTCTATCTTTCTGGCCATTATGACTCTAAGTAGTCGACTATCTTTCAAGAGTTGCGGGTTTAGTAACTATCTCGCGTATGTGGCAGATTGCTACACGTGCACGTTGAGTAACGCTAAATGTTGGCTAAATGTTGGTAACGCTAACAGTTGGCAGTAATATTAAGCTAAAGATTTCCTGATTAAAGACACATAGAACCCACTTGATATTGAATTTAGAGAACTTATACGAGAACCAAATAAAATCAAAGGATTGTATATGTGCTTTTCATCAGATATTAACTTGGCAAATTATCGTGTATTGCCTAACAGTGTCTTCATACAAGTAAAATTACTGAAAAGATTTACCGAAAGCTAAATATTAAGGTGACTTGGCTTAGTGTTATTAATTTTATAATCGGCCTGCAATTCTTGACACTATTTCGAAGCCCATCTTGATACAAACCATGGTTGTACCTTAATGCCTCTCGATTATCACTTACTATGATTCATGTCGATGATGTTCGTAACTATATTGAGTAAGTACGAATGCGATTGAATCATTACAACGAGAGAATCGTTCAAGCAGCGTTGGTGAAGACCTTATTACTTTAACACGCATCTACAATTATTCCAAGTATGATTTTTTTCCATTTTTATTAATGCTGTCACCAAAATAATTTCATAAAACTTTCTGTTAAGTAGAAAGTAAATGTAATTTATCATTGTATATTAAAATTAAAATTTATTAAGGGACAAGGAATTATTTATCTTAACATAATTTGATATGTGAGACTTTGAAAAGCGGATATGCATACATAGGGTCAATAACATTGAAGCTACTTCAATTTCTATATCAATATTATTAAATCTGACACGATCAATATTATTAACCACACTTCCTGTACAACTTTAGGGTTAAATTGAGCTTGTTGAAAATTGTTTCACGTTCAAAAGCAGAAATTGCTATAAATATTACTATAGGTATACAATGGAGAGGTCATTACACCAAATTATTATACAATTCATGTAAATTACCCCTAATATGCTAATGTTTGTTGATGTTGACAACTTCAACAACCCCAGTAATAAAGAATGTAATACAGTGAGTATAATAACTTGAGTAACGGAAAATTATTCATTCTAATCTACTAGAGTAGTTAGAATTAGTTCTAATTATAGAACGATTTAATTCGAAAAGAAAGCGATTATATGGTATGTATAAGATCTATTGGTTTGTAAATTTGTAGGATCGACCCTAACCCACAATCAAAGAGAAGCGGCATTCCTCTCCAGATTGGTTAATAGGATGGTTCTTCTTGCATGTAACTCTATGGAACGTTTGCAAGGTTATGAGAAACGAACGATCGGCGGCATTTCTCTCTCTCCATACCAAATGCCAAAACAAAGCGTCATTGTTTCGCGATTTTCGACCCGACCTCGCAAACGATTCAAAAAAAAATTATGAGAGTCGTTTAAAACCATTTCGATGATGGCACCTTTAGATTAAAAAAGAAACAACAATTTTTAATTACCCGATTCTTCAGATTCGTTTTCTTTTTCGGTAATTGGTTTCCTCCCATAGAAGTCATAGAACTAATAAGTGTTTATGGATTTTAAATCTATTCAAAAAAAAATGATAAATATTTGTAAATAAAAATAACGTTTTTATTTTTTGTCTTGTTATTATTAAAGTAAATAAGGAAGTATTTCGTAAGTGGTGTACTTATATCGGTTGAGTTGGTCATAAACAAGCGTGAAAGAAGGCCAAGTTCAATGAAATCGAGAAGGTTGCCTTCTCGTCTGCTCTACATCGAGAGTAATCGCGCCGTTCTGCTATTTATAAACGCAACAACATAACGACGTCGTCGACGTTCACAGTTTGCACGATGAATGAACTCGTTTCATTTTGCGCCATTTCACTTTCTTCACCTACAGACAGATTACTGCTTATTACCTCCGGTAACAGAAAGCATCATCATCATCTTACAAAAAGCTTCTCGTACAACCAGCAAGGTCTCATCTTCATTTCCAATTATGAAACACTTTTTATTATTCAATGAGAGAAAGTAATGAATGTATAAAAGTTATTTGCCACTAAACTTGATTTCTAAGAATGAAGAAAATTTTGTAAATGTTGAATGACATCATTTTGTTAACATTTATTTTTTTTTAATTTATGGTTTAAATGTTACCAATAAACCGATCAATTCTTTCTAATTCGTTTGAAGGATAATTGGTTTACGTTGTAGGTTATTGACGAAATAAACTGACTCTTCAATTGGTCATTTTTGACAACAGGTTCAGGTTGTATTTTAAGGAAAAGGTCAGAACGATTGGTGATGTTCTCTATAACAGATTATGTAACAGAACTTAATTGGATTTCGATAATGTTAAAGTTTGGGAAAAAAGACTTTTAGAATTATAACGAATTGGAATAAACTATAAAGAAATTGTTTTAAAAGATAATTTTGGGTTTGAAATGATGCATTATTGATGCAAAAATGGGAACTATTTAAAAATGTTTTATGGAAAGCAGAAGCAAAAAGATTGACTTGGCTATTTATGCCACATTATATAGCGAATACATATATTTTATAGCGAATTTTGTAAGTTATCGATAAAAATTGCAACATCGAAAATTTTATTAAAACTTCAAATATTGTTTTCTCAAAAACTAAAAACTATTTTTCAAAACGCGTTGGTTCATTGGAAAGAAGACACTTTTATTAACACTTNATTTATTTTTTTTTAATTTATAGTTTAAATGTTACCAATAAACCGATCAATTCTTTCTAATTCGTTTGAAGGATAATTGGTTTACGTTGTAGGTTATTGACGAAATAAACTGACTCTTCAATTGGTCATTTTTGACAACAGGTTCAGGTTGTATTTTAAGGAAAAGGTCAGAACGATTGGTGATGTTCTCTATAACAGATTATGTAACAGAACTTAATTGGATTTCGATAATGTTAAAGTTTGGGAAAAAAGACTTTTAGAATTATAACGAATTGGAATAAACTATAAAGAAATTGTTTTAAAAGATAGTTTTGGGTTTGAAATGATGCATTATTGATGCAAAAATGGGAACTATTTAAAAATGTTTTATGGAAAGCAGAAGCAAAAAGATTGACTTGGCTATTTATGCCACATTATATAGCGAATACATATATTTGATAGCGAATTTTGAAAGTTATCGATGAAAATTGTAACATCGAAAATTTATCAAAACTTCAAATATTGTTTTCTCAAAAACTAAAAACTATTTTTCTAAACGGGTTGGTTCATTGGAAAGAAGACACTTTTATTAACACTTTGGGAAATTTTCATACTCTTATTCCAAGAACTGGATTTTATATGAATTTTTAAAACTTAATCGGCGAAAATTGCAAAATTCGAAAAAATTGTCGATCATTTCAAAAATTTATTTCTTAAGAACTAAAAGCGATTTTTCAAAACGGCTTTTTGCATTAAAAAGAGCATACTTTAATTAATAATTGGTGATATTTCCAAAAGGATCCTTCAAGAAATGAATTTTATAGCGAATTTTATAAGTTATCGATGAAAATTGTAATATCGAAAATTTTATCAAAACTTCAAATATTGTTTTCTCAAAAACTAAAAACTATTTTTCAAAATAGGTTGGTTCATTGGAAAGAAGACACTTTTATTAACACTTTGGGAAATTTTCATACTCTTACTCCAAGAACTGAATTTTATACGAATTTTTAAAACTTAAGCGGCGAAAATTGCAATATTCGAAAAAATTTTTGATCATTTCTAAAATATATTTCTCAAGAACTAAAAGTGATTTTTCAAAACGGCTTTTTGCATTAAAAAGAGCATACTTTAATTAATAATTGGTGATATTTCCAAAAGGGTCCTTCAAGAAATGAATTTTATAGCGAATTTTATAAGTTATCGATGAAAATTGCAACTTCGAAAATTTGATCAAAACTTCAAATATTGTTTTCTCAAAAACTAAAAACTATTTTTCAAAACGGGTTGGTTCATTTGAAAGAAGACACTTTTATTAACATTTTGAGAAATTTTCATACTTATATTCCAAGAAATGGATTTTGTAAAAATTTTTAAAACTTAATCGGCGAAAATTGCAAAATTCGAAAAAAATTTTGATCATTTCAAAAATTTATTTCTCAAGAACTAAAAGTGATTTTTAAAACGGCTTTTTGCATTAAAAAGAGCGTACTTTAATTAATAATTGGTGATATTTCCAAATGGATCCTTCAAGAAATGAATTTTATAGCGAATTTTATAAGTTATCTATGAAAATTGCAACTTCGAAAATTTGATCAAAACTTCAAATATTGTTTTCTTAAAAACTAAAAACTATTTTTCAAAACGGGTTGGTTCATTTGAAAGAAGACATTTTTATTAACATTTTGGGAAAATTTCATACTCATATTCCAAGAACTGGATTTTATACGAATTTTTAAAATTTAATCGGCGAAAATTGCAGAATTCGAAAAAATTGTCGATCATTTCAAAAATTTATTTCTCAAGAACTGAAAGTGATTTTTCAAAACGGCTTTTTGCATTAAAAAGAGCACACTTTAATTAATAATTGGTGATATTTCCACAAGGATCCTACAAGAAATGAATTTTTAGCGAATTTTGAAAATTATCGATAAAAATTGTAACATCGAAAATTTTATCAAAACTTCAAATATTGTTTTCTCAAAAACTAAAAACTATTTTTCAAAAAGGGTTGGTTTATTGAAAAGAGGACACTTTTATTAACACTTTGGGAAATTTTCATACTCATATTCCAAGAACTGGATTTTATACGAATTTTTAAAACTTAATCGGCGAAAATTGCAAAATTCGAAAAAATTGTCGATCATTTCAAAAATGTATTTCTCAAGAACTGAAAGTGATTTTTCAAAACGGCTTGTTGTATTAAAAAGAGGATACTTTAATTAATAATTGGTGATATTTTCACAAGGATCCTTCAAGAAATGAATTTTATAGCGAATTCTGTAAGTTATCGATGAAAATTGCAACATCGAAAATGTTATCAAAACTTCAAATATTGTTTTCTTAAAAATTAAAAACTATTTTTTAAAATAGGTTGGTTTATTGGAAAGAAGACACTTTTATTAACATTTTGGGAAAATTTCATACTCATATTCCAAGAACTGGATTTTATACGAATTTTTAAAACATAATCGGCTAAAATTGCAAAATTCGAGAAAATTGTCGATCATTTCAAAAATTTATGTCTCAAGAACTGAAAGTGATTTTTCAAAACGGCTTTTTGCATTAAAAAGAGGATACTTTAATTAATAATCGAAAGTGATAACAGCGATAGTTCTGTTAGTAATGAAGGTGATGATGAATTACAAGCGAAGAGAAGAAAACTGGACGAAACTGCAACAAGAGATTTTATATATCGTATTGGGTTGCTAATGACAAACCTGATATAAATGAAGTTGTATTCCATAAAGAATGTCCTATAGGGGTTGAACTTGATTATTATCGGATAGCTGCCGGATATCCGTTCCAGCACTAATTCCACCTAACATAATCGGTTTGTATCTTTGTCCCTGCCAAATCAGTAAAGAGCAGTTTTCATAGTTGTAAATTTCACTGCAAATCAAAGCAAAAACCTTAAACCCTTCTTTGATTATTTAAAATTTTTTTAGAAACTTCTGGATATCTTTATATACCTATATGTCCTTTATATTTATTCAAACCACTTTTAACTTGTCCAGCATGTTAAAATCATGTTAGTTCGATTCTCTTTGTCCTCGTGAATTAAGCCATGAAGTTGTATTTACGGAGATGTGTCTACATAAGCGTATACAAATGTGTAGACAAACGTGTGTGGCTGCTTTACATACCATTACATTGAAATCGAATAAATTAAGAAATGCTGTTTAAAAAGTAATGAAATACAAATTCACACCTTGCATTTAAAAGTGTACTCACGCTTTCTTTGATTTTATTTGCGTTGCAGTATTTGATTTTCGTGAACAACTCAAACTAATCCACATATCAATCTTGTTCTTTTATCGACCACTGCATTAATTCCTTGAGCTCATACTTTCCTTCTTTCTTCTTTTCTTATTTGCAATATTTTTAAGTTTTATTCGAGTTAGCAGTACGGAATTCAATCCCGGTTTCCTGAAAAGCTTCTGAATCTAGTTCTGGAAAAGTCGAATTCAAGCTGAGTTTTGGCACAAATTACTCCGAATATCAGAAAATCACTTTACCCACGTATTCTACACTATATTTGTATGCAATTTATATAAGAGAAAAATCAATTTTTTCAACCAGTCACTATTATGTTATTGAAAGATTACAGATATTTTTCACTTCATATGCTATTGACCATATATTTCCTTTTGCTTAACAAAACAATAATAATTTCGTATACGACAAAGGAATAACCAGTTTGAGCAGTAATGAAAGTAAACGACATTTCAATCTATCAAATTCACGTAAAATCTTAATGAAAAATTTGCAAAATTTACAATAAATAGTGAGAATCTCTATTTAGATTTTGCTTAGCTTGGTATAAATTTATAGTGGTATTCAAAAAAAAATAAAACCAAAAATTCTTATTATTTACAATATATTTTTTTACAACACAATTTTACCACTAAAATACTGAAATATAACTTAAGGTAATGTTGGTAAATGATCTCCTTGTGGTCTAAATCCATTTTCATCAGCAGTATATTGTACAGAATAAGCAACACCATCAGGTGCTACATACCGATATTGCCCTTGAACGGCAATTCCTTCATTTTCAGCGCCTTGATTCAAAATTTGTCCATTTTCACTCGCTTGAATCCCATTACTAGTTTCGTATTCAAAGCTATATCCACCAAGATTACTATCAAAATTGCTTTTAACCACAACTGCACTTGCATCATTTTGAGGCGCCCCACGTACAACAAGACACGTGGCAATTAAAACCAAAAGGATTATCTGTAAGTAAATTGAATAGAATAAAGTTACACTGGAATGAGTTATATAACGAAAGTGATAAAGGTTATTGTAATTGGTGTTAATAAGGTGTTAAATAAGACACTAACTAACCACTTTCATCTTTTCAATGAGAGAAGAAGATGTTGGTTCTTGATGATTTGCTTCTTTAAAACTGGCAAGAAACTTTCCGATTTGGATGGTATTTATAGTCAGTTAGTGACTTAGAATTAGCTATCAACGCTTTCTGTTTTTCCTATAAACGTTTGTTAAGTAATGTTTGTTAATCGAAAATTAAATTGCAATTTTTTTAAAGATTAAATATAAATATTGTATGATTATATCGTATTAAAAATAATATATCAGTTTAAGTTTAATGAAAAATTTAATTAATTTTATGTAGAATTTAATAAGAAGATTTACAATCTAATCACATTTCTAATCATCTTTTGATATAAATCTGAATTAATGGTTAACGTAAAAAAAAAGTCAGCAAAATGTTGACAATGTGAAAATGTCAACAATAAACGCGTTATCTAACTTTATATTTTTCAATGATCATTTTGAATACTTGTATCTAACGCTTTCTCCTTCTAAAAATAAAAATCATTTACGGACTTCCTCATATTTTGTCCTACAAATAACTCAATTATGCACGTATGAACTTTTAGCATATTATACTTCTATAAATTAACATTTTCATTAAGTCCTTTTTAAACAATTTAGTTTTTTTTGGGTTAAAATAAATATGTTTTAATGAATTTCCAAAGTTGTCTTAAGTTAGTGTAACAAATCACGATTTCTTTCATTTTAGGTCAAGAGGAACCAGTTGCATCCAAAAAGAAATCGATTTCTCAAATAATTTTTTTTATGAATTATTGCCGTTTCTAAATTTATCTTGCAAATTTATCACCAGTTTAGCATGATTTTCAAAGTTGTCCAAAACAAATATGATTTCACAACTTTGGCGTTATACATACAGAATGATTCATAACTCGTATGCAAGTTATACAAGTTTTAAAACGTAATCTTTTTAGCACAGAAACTTTATAATTAATAATAATAATGTAACTGTAATAATAATGCAATTATGTAAAAACGTTTTAATATTGCTTTTACAAAAATTGCTCAAAATAATTTCCATTTCTTTGAATACTTACTATTGTTTGAATAATTCTTCAACAGCGTTTATTATTTTTTATTGTAATTGTTGAATGGTGGTAATTTCTACTTGATATATTAGTGGGTTGAGGTCTGGTGATCTTGGAGACCATGCTACAGGACCAAGACGATCTACCCACCTTGTATTAAAATGGTCATTTAATCAGGTAACAACTCTTCTTGCTGTGTTTGGAGGTGCACCATATCATGTTGGTAGTGACAGTGCAAGTGTAAAACTAGAACTAACACTACACCTAGAACTTAGTGATGGAACGGATAGTGAATTTTTAAAACTTAATCAGCAAAATTGCAAAATTCGAAAAAATTGTCGATCATTTCAAAAATTTTTTTCTCAAAAACTAAAAGCTATTTTTCAAAACGTCTTGTTGCATTAAAAAGAGAATACTTTAATTAATAGTTGGTGATATTTCCACAAGGATCCTTCGAGAAATTAATTTTATAGCGAACTTTGAATATTATCGATAAAAATTGCAACATCGAAAATTTTATCAAAACTTCAAATATTGTTTTCTCAAAAACTAAAAGTTATTTTTCAAAACCGGTTTGTTCATTGGAAAGAGGGCACTTTTATTAATACTTTAGGAAATTTTCATACTTATATTCTAAGAAATAGATTTTATACGAATTTCTAAAACATAATCGGCGAAAATTGAAAATTCGAAAAAATTTTCGATCATGTCAAAAACTTATTTCTCAAAAACTAAAAGTGATTTTTCAAAGCGTCTTGTTGCATTAAGAAGAGGATACTTTAATTAATAATTGGTGATAGTTCCACAAGGATCCTTCAAGAAATTAATTTTATAGCGAATTTTGAAAATTATCGATGAAAATTGCAACATCGAAAATTTTATCAAAACTTCAAATATTGTTTTCTCAAAAACTAAAAGTTATTTTTCAAAACGGGTTGGTTCATTGGAAAGAGGACACTTTTATTAACACTTTGGGAAATTTTCATACTCATATTCCAAGAAATGGATTTTATACGAATTTTTAAAACTTAATCGGCGAAAATTGCAAAATTCGAAAAAATTGTCGATCATTTCAAAAATTTATTTCTCAAAAACTGAAAGCGATTTTTCAAAACGGTTTGTTGCATTGTAAAGAGGATACTTTAATTAATAATTGGTGATATTTCCACAAAGATCCTTCAACAAATGAATATTATAGCGAATTTTGAAAATTATCGATGAAAACTGCAACATCAAATATTTTATCAAAACTTCAAATATTGTTTTCTCAAGAACTAAAAGTTATTTTTCAAAACGTGTTGGTTTATGGGAAAGAAGACACTCTTATTAACACTTTGGGAAATTTTCATACTCATATTGCAAGAAGTGGATTTTATACGAATTTTTAAAACTTATCGGCGAAAATAGCAAAAATCGAAAAAATTTTCGATCATTTCAAAAATTTATTTCTCAAAAACTAAAAGTGATTTTTCAAAACGTCTTGTTGCATTAAAAAGAGGATACTTTAATTAATAATTGGTGATATTTCCACAAGGATCCTTCAAGAAATGAATTTTATAGCGAAATTATCGATGAAAATTGCAACATCGAAAATTTTATCAAAACTTCAAATATTGTTTTCTCAAAAATTAAAAGTTATTTTTCAAAACGTGTTGGTTTGTTGGAAAGAGGACACTTTTATTAACACTTTGGGAAATTTTCATACACATATTCCAAAAAATGGATTTTATACGAATTTTTAAAACTTAATAAAAAATTGTTGATCATTTCAAAAATTTATTTCTCAAAAACTAAAAGTGATTTTTCAAAACGGCTTGTTGCATTAAAAAGAGGATACTTTAATTAGTAATTGGTGATATTTCCACAAGGACTCTTCAAGAAATGAATTTTATAGCGAATTTTGAAAGTTATCGATGAAAATTATTGCATCGAAAATTTTATCAAAACTTCAAATATTGTTTTCTCAAAAACTAAAAGTTATTTTTCAAAAGGGGTTCGTTCATTGGAAAGAGGACACTTTTATTAACTCATTGGGAAATTTTCATACTCATATTCCAAGAAATGGATTTTATACGAATCTTTAAAACTTAATCGGCGAAAATTGCAAAATTCGAAAAAATTGTCGATTATTTCAAAAATTTATTTCTCAAGAACTAAAAGCGATTTTTCAAAACGGCTTTTTGCATTAAAAAGAGGATACTTTAATTAATAATTGGTGATATTTCCACAAGGATCCTTCAAGAAATTAATTTTATAGCGAATTTTGAAAGTTATCGATGAAAATTGCAACATCGAAAATTTTATCAAAACTTCAAATATTGTTTTCTCAAAAACTAAAAATTATTTTTCAAAAGGGGTTTGTTCATTGGAAAGAGGACACTTTTATTAACTCATTGGGAAATTTTCATACTCATATTCCAAGAAATGGATTTTATACGAATCTTTAAAACTTAATCGGCGAAAATTGCAAAATTCGAAAAAATTTTCGATCATTTCAAAAATTTATTTCTCAAAAACTAAAAGCGATTTTTCAAAACGGCTTTTTGCATTAAGAAGAGGTTGCTTTAATTAATAATCGAAAGTGATAACAGCGACAGTTCTGTTAGTAATGAATGTGATGATAAATTACAAGCGAAGAGAAGGAAATTAGACGAAACTGCAACAAGAGATTTTATATATCGTATTGGGATTGTTACAAGGAGTTTGCTAATGACATGCCTGATATAAATAAAGTTGTATTCAATGAAAAAAGTCCTATTGGGATTAAACTTGATTTTTTTTTAATGACCAACACCTAAAAGAGATACTAATTCCTGTGAATGGTACTATACCATTATAAATAATAGATTTTTAATATCCGGCCAAAGCCGGATATTTGGTAACTATCCGGTATCCGACCGGATTTTAAAAAATGGCCGGATAGTTGGATATCCGGTCCACCACTACTAGAACTTGAATCATTTGGGTTTAGCCGCACATCTCTAAAGACGGCTAAACCCGAATGAATCTAGTTCTAGGTATAGTGTTAGTTCTAGTGACAGTGCAAGTGCAAAACTAGAACTAACACTATGCCTAGAAGTAAAAACTTTCAGGTTTAGCCATCTTATGAAACGCACGGCTAAACCCGAATGTTTCTAGTTCTAGGTCTAGTGCTAGTTTTATTTATTATGAAGCGCTAGATTTATAAGAGAAGAGAAATATAAAAATATAAGAGAAATATATAATCATATTTTCAACAACTTTTTTTATAATTAATAAACAAAAAAATTGTCGGTTAATGCAACAACTAGAAACTTGCGACTCAAGCTGTTTCAATAAAATAAAATTTTATAACAAAGCCGACGATCTTTATATGGTTATTACGGCATAATATTCTGGTTGCTTGCAAGTTCGTGTGAAAGAAGATTTCTTCTCGTCTAATTTAACGGCCACAGTATTCGATTGGATACTGGGTTGGGTCACCCCTGCGAAAAGAGTGGGGCCACGACCGAAAAAAAAATGGGTTTACTTTCGTTTTTCCCTATAAATATCTCGAGCTGAGAACCGAAACGTATCAGTGCTTCAAACGTGTTCTAATCATCTATTCTAATAGAAAAAAGTTATAATTCTTCATCAAAAATGAAAGTGGTTAGTTAAAAAGTTTTTTTTTTATTAAATTTTTAAGTTGGACTTTTTTTGCATAGGTAATCTTGTTATTTGTTGCTGTTGCTTTCGCTGCTCCCCAATACGATAGAGATGCTGTTGTTCTAAGAAACGATTTTGATAACATTGGTGTCGATGGATATAATTATGCGTAAGAATTTATTCATTTTTTTATTCATTTATTCAAACCAATAATAATTTTTTTTAGTTATGAAACTAGTAATAGAATTTCGGCTCAAGAACAAGGCCAATTGGTGAATCCGGGTACTGATAATGAAGCGATTGCTGTTAGGGGACAATACTCCTATTTAGGTCCAGATGGTGTTACTTACACGGTGACTTACATTGCTGATGAAAACGGTTTTCAACCACAAGGAGCTCATTTACCGAGAGCGTAATAAAACAATAAAAAGGATTTGGAAGATATTGTGAAATAACTAAAGTTACTACAGCCTATCCAAAATGAAAATAGATTATTTTTAACTTTCTTTTTTTCATTGCTTTTAGATAAATTTGTAATTTTTCCATTTTTGTACCTGTACATATTTATAAATGAAATAAAATTATGATTTTTATTCATATTAATCTTGATTTTTATTACTAAAATAATTTATTATTTAAAACAATTTATTCTTTTTTTAATTTAATCGTTTATCCATTTAATCCAAACACGTTCATCGTAATTCGAGTGAAAACCAAGCTACTTAATATTTATTTATTTGTCATCCAGTCTACCATCATCGTTGATATCATAATGTTATTGCATCCTTCAATCCCACATCAACGCATAATAAGTTAAATGTCATTTTGTTTAATTATTAAAATTCGATTCAAATTCATTCATTGTGGTCGCCACCAAACCAAAAATGACGTCATTAAAGAACAACTTCTTCGAAAAATAATAAGTTATATATTGTATTACACGGACAAAGTTAAGAATAAAATCTTATTTTGCCAAAAAAGCAAAAATATGGTTGTTAATACTATTGAAACAAGCTCGTTAAAACATCGATGTCATATTTATTTAAAATTTATATACTTTACTAAATTAATGCTTACTGTGAAAGAAATCTTTCAAAATTCTATTGAACATATTAAGGAAAGAATCAAAGTCAACGGAGTCAATAGGCAGTGCTGAGGGATTGCAACGACTTTTGAATACCGTGACCAAGAAAGAAGATACTCCAGAGTTAAAAATAAACATAAAGAAAACAAAAGTAATAGCTGTGACACGTATTCCAAATCCCTGCATTAATATTCGTATCTACAACAAGCAGATAGAACCCGTACACAGATTTCAATATCTAGGTTGCTGGATAACTGACGATCTTGACCACGAGGTTGAAGTGCGAGCTAGTATAGAATATGCCAGATCCACTTTTCAAAGAATACAGAAACTCCTAGTAAATTCCACCTTGTCACTGAATATTCGATACAGATTTGAGAAAATGTACGTGGAAGCATGGATTCTTGAAATTAATGGTATGAGGCTGATGTAACCTTTGAAATGTGGATTTTCCGAAGAATGCTGAAGATCTCTTGGGCGGAGCACGTCTCCACTGATGAGGTGGAATACGGAAAACAAGTTATCTAAGGCATACTTATAGAAGGAAAAAATAGAACTTCCTACGACTCATAATGGAAGAGAAGCTTGAAAGCAAAAGAGGCCCAGAGCGAACAAAATTATGAATTAATTATGAATAGAGAGCACTTTGCCGAAATTATCGCCAACCTTCAGTAATAGAGAAGACACATTAAGAAGAATAATACTTGTACATATAATAATTGACACCTTGAACACGATGATTTAGAGCCCAATGGGTCATTTTATTAGATAGGATGTGAAATAAGATTATTGAAATAGGATCAAGTATGCACAGTAGAATTAAATAAATAAAGCCTCCGTTTACAATTTTAGAGAGAGAGGTTAAGACTAAATAGCTCCCATATATTTGTCAAAATTTAAATATCAGTTTCNGGATCAAGTATGCACAGTAGAATTAAATAAATAAAGCCTCCGTTTACAACTTTAGAGAGAGAGGTTAAGACTAAATAGCTCCCATATATTTGTCGAAATTTAAATATCATTTTCTATTTAGGCATCATGTTGACACGTTTGCCATAATTTTTAAACTTATAAAAAACTTATCCAATAAGTTATTTTAATCTATCGATCAGTAGTACCAAACCAACCCAATAATAAAACATCAAAATTTGATGTTTTTGATCATTTTCGGTTATGACTCATTAATTGTGCATAGTAGAGAATTATTTTTTTAACAAACAATGTTTAGAATTAACTCATAAGACGTATAGAATAATGATATTTTCTCCATCAATCAGCATTACAAACCCAACTTAAAAAAAAAAGAAATTTTGACGTTTTCAGCAATTTTCTTTTATAACTCATTAATTATATCTGATGGCAAAAAAGTTTTCATACAAAAAAGATTTAGAATTAACCCATAAAACTTATCTAATAAGTTATTTTAATCCATCGATCAATAGTACCAACCCAACTCAATAATAAAACAAAATTTTGATGTATTTGATCATTTTCGGTTATAACTCATTAATTGTGCATGATGCAGAATTATTTTTTTAACAAAAAATTTTTAGAATTATCTCATAAGACGTATTGAATAAAGATATTTACTTCATCAATCAGCATTACCAACCCAACTTAAAAAAATAGAAATTTTGACGTTTTCATCAATTTTCTTTTATAACTCATTAATTATATCTGATGGAAAAAAGTTTTCATACAAAAAAGATTTAGAAGTAACCCATAAAACATACCCAATAAGTTACTTTAATCCATCGATCAATAGTACCAACCCAACCCAATAATAAAACAAAATGTTGATGTTTTTGATCATTTTCGGTTATAACTCATTAATTGTGCATGATGCAGAATTATTCTTTTAACAAAAAATGTTTAGAATTAACTCATGAGACGTATTGAATAAAGATATTTACTCCATCAATCAGCATATTCAACTCAACTCAAGAAAAATAGAAATTTTGATGTTTGCATCAATTTTCTTTTATATCTCATTAATTATATCTGACAGAAAAAAAGTTTTCATACAAAAAAGTTTTAGAATTAACTCATAAAGCATATCCATTAAGTTACTTTAAAATCCATCGATCAGTAGTACCAACCCAACCCGATAATAAAACCAAGTTTTGATATCTTTGATCATTTTCGGTTATAACTCATTAATTATGCGTGATGGAGAATGATTTCTTTAACAAAAAATTATTAGAATTAACTCATAAGACGTATTGAATAAAGATATTTACTCCATCAATCAGCATTACCAACCCAACTTAAAAAAAATAGAAGCTTTGACGTTTTCATCAATTTTCTTTTATATCTCATTAAGTATATCTGACAGAAAAAAAGTTTTCATACAAAAAAGTTTTAGAATTAACTCATAATACATATCCAATAAGTTATTTTAATACATCGATCAGTAGTACCAACCCAACCCAATAATAAAACAAAATTTTGATGTTTTTGATCATTTTCGGTTATAACTCATTAATTGTGCATGGTGGAGAATTATTTTTTTTAACAAAAAATGTTTAGAATTCACTCATAAGACGTATTGAATAAAGATATTTACTCTATCAATCAGCATTTCCAACCCAACTCAAGAAAAATAGAAAATTTGACGTTTTCATCAATTTTCTTTTATAACTCATTAATTATATCTGATGGAAAAAAAGTTTTCATATAAAAAAGTTTTAGAATTAACCCATAAAACATATCCTATAAGTTATTTTAATCCATCGATCAGTAGTACCAACCCAACCCAATAATTTTGATGTTTTTGATCATTTTCGGTTATAACTCATTAATTACATCTGATGGAAAAAAGTTTTCATACAAAACAAGTATTAACACTATTACACATAACAAGTTTGTTATAAAGACATAATTTAATAACACTAATTTAGACTCTTCCCCTATTAATATCCTCATGTTTTTCAACCTGTTTACGCTTTTCAACATCACCTCTTTCCAGGTTGCTTCCCGCACCCCTCTTAAAAGCTCTAGCCTTCATACTCTCTATCCCCAGCTTCTTTCCAGATTTCCATTGCTCCTGCTATCCTTTTCTCAATCCTCTTCTCCATTTCTTCCATCTTCTCATCAAAATTCTTTCTTTCCATTACTTTCCCATTATCCTCCGCCATCATCACAATAACTGCCGTTGGCCAGGGCTCCACTCATCTGAACAGATCCATAATTCTTACGCATACCTCCCTAGGAATATTTCTGTTTGGTCTCGAGAGTTCAGTCTCCAGTTCCTCCCAGAGTTCGGTTATATTCGCTTTACTTACATCTAACTCATTTACCTGTATAAAGTCTGGTAATTAGTTTCTGTATGCGGTTGACATACAACTGACTTTTAGAATCGATAATCTGGATTTATGGTAAAGAATTGGTTTAGCTACATCCTGCTATAATGAAAAATTTTGTCATAGTCGTTTGATTTGACTTATCAAGATATAACTGAATGAAAGAATATTCGGAGATAAACTGAATGCTCAACATTATTGGAGTTGTCAGCTACTCATGTTGTACTCGTATTACTACCGATTCAACCTTTTCTGCCATCAAGAGTAGTACTATTACTTATTATTGTATTTTTGACGCAAACCCGAATTAACTCGGGCGAATCTAAATTGTACGTTCCGTTTGGTTTAAGCTAGAATTCACTGATGTACAACTCTTGGCAATTTGTTCTTTTCCGAAACAACTCATACTTACTAAAAATCTTTCAGTGTCGTCACAAGTTATGGTTACATTTGCAAAACATCTTTTGAACAATGGAAATTGCCTTACAATGAATAATTTCTACAATTCTCCACAATTAGTCGATATTGTAATATAAAAAAACGGACGTTTATGGCATCCTAAAAGTACCCAGAAATGAAATACTGCAAGATCTCAAAGACAAAAAATTGAAGAAAGGAGAAGTCATTGATTTTCAACTGGAAGGATAAGAAGGACGTCAGTTTGCTATCGACAGTTCATGTTATGAAAATAAATTAGTTGCAAAAACGAAGAGAGGAAGTGATAAACAAGCCTGTAGTAGTAATAGATTACAATAACACAATGGGATCTCTTATATTATTAAACATTTTATTTACATTAATATTTATATTAAATAATATCACTAAAGTATTAAGTTAAGGTCCTTTCTTATATTGAATTTTTGGTCTAAATCCATTATTATCGGCAACGTAGTCTACTATATAAACAGCACCATTAGGTGCTGTATATTCGTATTTTCCTTGTACAGCAATCCCCTCATCCCAATTACCAACATTTTGTAACAATCCCTTCTCTTCGACATATATTCCATTACTAGTCGCAAATCTAAAAAACAATATTTTCTCTTTCTTATTACTTTTCCTGTTTATTCTTTACTCACCCAAAATTGTATCCTCCAATTCCTTCAACCACTTGACCTTTAGGATTTTCAACAGAAGCTGAAGATGCAAAATAGAATAAAACGGCAAAAACGACTAGCTGTTTAAATAAGAGAAAGTCCTAAATTTATGTTTATAAAATTAAATAATACATACGAGCTTCATTTTGGTTTCTTGTCGAATGAATCGGTCATCTAATAATGGCGTGCAATTTATACGATGTCGCGCGCGAATATGATAAATGTTGAAGTAGAAAAAAATGATAGGTCTTCTCCCCGTTGCGGTTCTCTTCCTTCAGGGCGTCATCTCACGCACGAATCTTCGTATACAAATGCCATCGAGCTAATGGCACACTTTTCGTTTGCGCAAGAAACTAGCCGTTTGCATGGAAAAGACACTAAATTATTAACGTTTTGGACGAATGAAATTCTTTTTTTATGGGAATATTTAAAATTTAAATTTACGTATACCTTTTTGTGTAAGATAGGTGTTACGATGATTTTATTACGTAATTGTTTGATAAACTTTTGGAATATTTAACAAAAATCTCACTTTCAATTCAAGGTCTAGAATTTTTATTATATACTACTATTATACAAAAAATTGTAATTAACAGCGAGAATGAAGATATATTATGAGTGTATTAATAAATTCGAAATAACTTGGAAAATATCAAGGGCACCTACAATGCAAACGAAGACTTCATCACTCATCGTAGAAAATTAATCCTTTCATTTCGAATAATAAAAGCATTGTTTTAGATTGATGATAACAAATCATGTTTTTTTAAATTTATCTCGTACAAGTTATCTAACGTCGATGACCAACGAACAAAGAGAAAGTGTAGCATTTCCGATGTTGTACCAAACGAAGAAGACAAATCCCGCCCATTTATCAGGTTACCACTAAACACGTCGTGGATTTTGCAACAATCGAAGACCTTAAAACTATACCTACTTTAAAAGAAGAGCAAAAGAGATCCATCTCTTTTTCTAACTTCGATTACTACGAAGACGTTGACATTTGAATCTTTTTTTTTTGTGAGAATCGTAAAGAACCTAGGCCGAGTTATGTAAATCAGTGTCGAAGGACTCCCCGAATATCTTTCTGTTACGTTAACGTCCACTAAATATGGATCCATCCTGGTTCTACTTCTTCTTTTACTTTTTTTTGAAGAGGAGGGATTAATTTTTGGAAATGAAACGATCTCTCGGGTATATAAGGTGGTAGCAGATGGGGTATTAGGTCAGTGTTTCACTCAAAAATAGAAACAACGTGTATTATCTCAACGATAAAACCAAATCAACAAAAATGAAATTCGTAAGTTTATTTTTTTATTAAACAAATTTCTTTTAATTTACACTTTATTCGATTCGCGTTGTTAGGCTATCGTTTTCGCTACCGTTTTAACTGTTGCCTTGGGCGCTGCTATCTCCGGCGATAAAGATGCTGTAATTGTCAAAGCTGATTTCGATAATATTGGAACTGATGGATTTAACTATGCGTAAGTTAGAATTAAACATTTTTTTGTCTCCAATAATAATCTTATAAATCATGTTTTATTATGTAGTTACGAAACTAGTAACGGAATTAGTGCCCAAGAACAAGGACAACTTCTTAACCAAGGTGCTGAAAACGAAGCAATTGCAGTTCGTGGTCAATTCCAATACGTTGGCCCTGATGGTGTAACTTATGCTGTCCAATACATTGCTGATGAAAATGGTTTCCAACCACAAGGAGCCCATCTTCCAGTTGCCCCTTAAAAATGTTTTTACAAACCCTTTAAGCCATTCAAAAATTTTCCTAAAATTTCCAAAGTTTCCCGTTACCCCTATTTTTGTAATTATTCAAAATAATTTGCTCAAGATGTAAAAAAAAGTAATTAATAATTGTTATTTTAATAATTGTACAGTAAAAAAATGTAAAAAAAATTAGAATTAATTTTTTGTTGAATAAATGAGTCATTTGAAAAAATTTAATTTTTATTTAGCATCTAACCCCGGAATCTAAAATGGTACAACCTATCTCTAGCTTGGTTTATTTATGCGAAGGTATTTTCTATTACGGTTATTATTAGAGGAATACACGTTTTTAAATGTCAGAGACGAATGCCAGCTCATGATATTTGTTAATCGCTTATTTATACGAAGAAGAAGAGGATTCGTAGAATTTCAAGGAGGTGGATGATTTCGCTAAATTACGCAATTCGACAAGTCGCATATTGTGGAGAAGCCGATTAATTTTCGTTATTTAATAACGGGACCTCATTGTGAAACGCTCGAAAAACGATAGAAAACGAAACGTCTTAAAAAGAAATTACGTAAGATGCTATTTTAACGCTCTTTTTGGAACACGCACGTGTCTCTGTCTCCTATAACAAGTTACTATTATTATTTTGAATAATTTAAATAATCTTTTAAAGTGAGATAAATTACAAAATTTTAATAGTTTAAAAATAACTTAAAAACACAGAAATAATAATAAATTGGTAGACTTTCACGGTCAGTCATATTAGAAATAAATCTAAAATTAGAAAAAACTGCGTCTATTAAAACACCATTTAACGTTTTAGATGCAACCTTCTTCAGAAACAAGTTCAAATGTGCCAAAAGATGACAGTAACTAATTATTAATTAATTAAAAAACTTATTACTACTCGCTAATTACCGCGTTCGGTGTGAAGTGGGGAAATTTTTCATCAATTTTATCGTAATTTTATTACCCAATCTACAATGTTGCCATGTCCTTTATTTAATTAATTTCGTTAGGTTTTGTTGGAACGTTCAGTTAATCCAGAACTAAATTTATTATCATTATCTAATTCAGTAAAGAGGTAAATAAGAACATCTTGCCTTTAAAACTAACTTTGTAGACTTATTGGTACTGCTCTCAAAGTAAAAATAAGTTCCCATTGCATTACCAAACACCAGATTTGAACCCAAGAGTTTATATCTTTCATTATTAAGAGTAGCGAGAGTTAATTGAATTTATCCTGCGGTTCACTCGCATACCGTTTTGCCATTTATTCTGTTGGATCTGATGATATGATTTAGGTGACTGTTCAGTGCATAAGTAGATTTTGATGCAAATATTACAGCCCATACGAGAGGTTGCTAAAGGGGATTTTTGAATGTATGTGAAATGACCAGTGGTGGTAAGATGAAATACACGAGGATGCATGCGATCTTATGGGTTGGGTTGGGTTCATTTCGCAGCATTAAGACAAGATGTACAAAATAAGATCGGAAAAGAATTGAATATAAACAGTATCTCTGAAGTTTTTTTAGAGACAGAGGATACCGGAAGAGAAGTGATGTATTACGTGACTAAGGTTATGATCAGGGCACGGAACTTTTGTAACAAAACGATTTCCCCCCTCCACTCGTTCTCAGAAAGTCTTGATTAAAAGAATACCATACTGTTCAGTGGGAAATTAAAATTTCAAGTTAGAAAAAAATTGTGTTAACAAAAATTGTTCCTGAAACAATTCTAAACAAACTTTGTCAACAATTTTTTTTGATTTAATCAATAATTAAGGAGATAACCTCAAAATAATAATTTTTCCGTTTTTATACATAATTATACTTAGATGCTTAATTAATAGAGATGTAAAAATTTTTTATTAAGATAATTGATTCAAAATCGAAATTGAAACAAATTTTATTTAAAACATTTTTTGATAAAAACAATAATTATTGAGATAATTAATTTTGATAGCATACTATTCAGAGGGAAATTAAAATTTCAAGTTAGCAAAAAATTTTATTAACAAACACTGTTCCTGAAGTAATTCTAAACAAATATTATTAATAAAAAATTTTGATTTGATCAATAATTAAGAACATAATCTCAAAAAAAATTTTATATACAGTGTGTCCCCGGATTGTGTCCCCGTAAGGTATAATTGACGATAAATTTTTGAATTCAAATTCCATCTTTTGCAATTAAAGTCTGGATGTCATAAAACGAAATATAACCAAGTTTTACGTCAAATGTCCTCAAAGTACCAAAGTTAACGCAAGAAGTTTGTTAACCGTTGCAGGTAAAGTGGTCTTTCTGAGCAATGTACAACAAAAATTGATGATTTTCCACATTGCCCGTTTCCGAAAATTTTTAACAAGTCTCTTAATTGTTTTTTTTATCTACTAAAAATCCAAATTTTTCCTCAAATTGCCTTAAAACTGCATTGTAACTACTGTTCCCCAATCCATTGCACTATAAATATTTAATGTTGTAATGCAAACATGATCAAGTAATATTTAACAATAGATTAAAGCTAAACTATCAAATAATAATTGTTAGTTCACTCAGATCATTTGGTTTTATTGTAAAACGGAATATTAGAAAAAAATTTTAAGAAAAAACTCATTTTTTCTTTTATATGCTAAATTAATAAAATTCGGCATATCGCTATAATTTAACATAACAAACATTTTATCTTAATCAATTTTTGTTGTACATTGCTCAGAAAGACCACTTTACCTGCAACGGTTAACAAACTTCTTGTGTTAACTTTGGTACTTTGAGGACATTTGACATAAAACTTGGTTATATTTCGTTTTATGACATCCAGACTTTAATTGCAAAAGATGGAATTTGAATCCAAATATTTATCGTCAATTATACCTTACGGGGACACAATCCGGGGACACACTGTATATATTTTTATATATATTTTTTATTGAGAAAATCGTTTTAGAATTTAATTTAGAACAACTTTTGTATGAAATTTTTTGCTGAGAACAAGTGAAGGGGGGAAATCGTATCGTTTTGTTACAAAAGTTCCGTGCCCTAGTTATGATGGAGAAAGAAAGAGAAGAGAGAGACAGGAGGACACCAACCAAAATGTAGCTGAAGAATAACGAACGAAAAATCCAAGAACAGAACTGGAAGAGAAGAGCGAAAACGAGTATCATGTCCAAGAACGGATTAAGAGAAGAGTAGTTTTTAGTTAAACCCCCCTATCCAGGTAAGCTACTTTTTATATTTATATTCAAAAAGTTAATCGAATATTTTGTATGGCTAATAACCAATATCACCTAATACTGCCTACACAAAATGCGGAGAAATGGAAGAAAAAGGAAAAGAAAGTGAAGGAAAAAGTGTAACTGTCACGCTCAGGACGGAAAGATTGAGAGAAGACGAGTTGTGCTGTAATTTCAAAAAGTTAATTGTATGTTTATGTATTTTAATATGTAATGCCACCTACCTAAAATAAAAGCGAATGGAAAGGGAAGAAAAGAATGGAAAAGGAAGTAGAAGAGAAGAAAATGAAAAAATTAAAGGAAGATTCCAGGGCGCCCTCAAAAGCGAAAAAAAAGAGGAGGGGTTTTTAGTGGGTAGTTCGAGGCTAGAATAGTCCCACACTCCTTTCCGAAGATCTGAAGTTTCCACCAGCTCGAAGATCTAAGGCGCCAACAATAGGCGCCTTAAAAAAAGGTTGGGTTTGGTGAAGGCAGAGAGGTTACCAAAGAGGATATTTAAATGTATGTGAAACGACCAGTGGTGATAAGATGAAATACAGGAGGATGCATGCCATTTATGACATGATTAGGCTTAGAAATGGTTTTTACAGCAAATACAAAAAGTTTAAAACTGAACTAGCACTTAATGAATATAAATCTTTTAGAAAACGTTGCACACGCAATAAAGACTGAGTAGAAGACGTACTATGAATCATCTTTTAAAAATAAAAGTTCCAGGGATCTCTGGAAATCACTAAGGCATCTGAATGTTACCAAATCAAAAGAATTTTTTAAGAATCATTTGAATGACGTTGAAGGCATTAATGATAATATTGTACAAGCTGCTGGAAACTCAATGATCGCTGATCCAGACTTAATTCAGGCTTATACTACGAAAAAGTCTGCCTTTAATGAATTGTTTGCTTTTTTGCCTGTCTCGGAGCATATTGTAGCATGCCATTTGTTAAATATCAAATCTGGCAGTGTGGGATATGATGAACTCTCGGTTGTGATGATATATTACTGTTGTCCTTTCATCATTCACTTCACACATATTATTAATATGTGCTTATCGAGGTCAATATTTCCAAAATGTTGGAAGAAATCTTTGGTAACACCATTGCCAAAGATTAAGAATCCTATGACATTTTCGGACCTGCGACCAAATAGTATTTTACCTGTTTTATCTAAAGTATTAGAAAAAATTATGAATGATCAAATTCGGGAATTTGTCGATAAACTTAATATTTTGCCTAGGACACAGTCTGGATTTCGTGCTAACCACAGTGGCGATTCAGCATTAACGCATATAGTTGATAATATATTGAACATAATAACATATTGTTTGCGGCGGATCAAAATAGGCTTACTGGATTAGTTCTGCTAGACTACAGTAGGGCCTTTGATACTGTCAATCATAGGATGTTATCGGCTATCTTATCCTTTATTGAGTTCAATGATTCTGCTATGAGCATGATTGATAGTTATGTGTCAGACAGACAACAATCGGTTAAATTGGGTGATCGGAGATCTGAACTGCGAGGCTTGAAGTCAGGTGTGCCGCAGGGTTCTATCTTGGGGCCTCTACTGTTTTGTATTTACACTTCTAATCTTTCGACAGTTTTGAAATATTCAGAGTCACATTTTTATGCGGACGATTCCCAAATCTATCTATAGTTCTTGACTACGGACATGGCCACTGCTAAAGTTAAATTGAGTGAGGACATAAATAATCTGATAGATATATCCACTGAACACTCGTTACGGGTAAATTCAAATAAATCAGTGGTTATGCTCTTTGGCAGGCGGGGTGCACGAGACTCTCTTGCAGAAAATTTTAAAATGAATATTGGTGGTAAATGTATTGGTGTGAGGGAGTGTGCTAGAAATTTAGGATTACAGCTGGACTCGAATCTTAGGTTCAAAATGCACGTCCTGG